GCCAAAACATCAGACCTGTGGCATTTACTAGTTGTAACATACCTTAAAACCCTCAGCTCATCTGAGCATCCTCAAATCAGCTTTAAGATCCACCAGCAATTACAGAGCTCTGATCAGTCTGATTCTGACTGGATCACAGAAACATCTATATTCTTAACACTAAAGCTCAGCATTCAGCATCCATCAACACTACACAGACAAAACTGCTGTTTATTTATCTCCTTCTTATTAATTTACGTCATCCATGGTAACCGTTTTCAAGCATATCCTTTACAACCTGCAACATTTCGCTGTTGTCGGAAGAAAACCTCGTATCTCCAAACTGGGAAGTTTACATGAAAAGGAAAAAACGCACTTTACTTTTCATGTAAGTCAATGGAACCAGACCTTTTCTAGGTCATTTTGGGTCATTTCTTTTGGTCCAATCATCATGAAATTTACACACAATGTAAAAGGCAACAGGTATTTTCAAATATGTCAAAAACTGAAAAACGACAGGAAATGGAGATACAAGGTTTTCTTCCGACGACAGCAATATGTTCATTATTTATCACTTTAAAATATGAAATAGGCAGTACAACACAGGCCTTCTTAATGTTTTGCACCTCAAGGTCCACCTACTTATCACTAAAAAAGACAATGGCCCACAGGAAAACAAACGTTTTGGGAAATTTTCAACACAGTTGTATTTGTGTGCGTATTACCACGATATGTGACGTGTATTATTAAACATAAAATATCATCAGATCAGGCTAACGTATACTTGTTTTACACCAGAAATGATGCAGAACGGTGGCAAATTAAGTGGACTGTTTCTACAACGCAACTTTTTCCACCAATCACTTTTAAGGGGACAACCAAAACATTGGAAAAGGGTTGTGCTTTATTGCTGGAGGCCAGGGGCAAAACATTTATGAGGCTGTCTCTGTGCGCCGTTGTTGTAAGGCTTGTATTATTATTGTTTACCATTTTCCAAGTCAATTTTAACCAGGTCAGTTAGTTTTTCATTGATTTTTATGATGAAGTGTCACCCACAGATTCCTGTCCACCACCTCAGTACTGGCCTGAAGCACACCAATGGCTCACTTGTTTGCCATAGTAAACAAGTGAGCAACGTAGTTGAGAAACACTGATCTAATCATCTAATTATAAACCTGTTTGAGGCATAACATGAGCGAGTAAACAAGCAAACTGTTAATTTATTGAAAGTCATTTTTGAATGGGACCCATGAGATCCTACCTACGCCCCTTATATTAACTACTCAGTCCATCAAACATGCATAAACTATTCAGCAAACACAGCAAAAGCCATGTCTTTCAGACACACACAAACATTCTGATGCTCATACAAACATATCGCTGCTGTCGGAACGAAACCTCGTATCTCCAAAATGATAACTTTACAGTAGAAGGAAAAAAAGTACTAGTTACTTTTAATGTAAGTCAATGGAACCAGACTTTTTTGGGGCCATTTATTTTAGTCAATTCATCATGAAACTTACACATAATGTAAAGAGCAACAGGCATTTTCAAATTATGTAAAAACTGAAAAACGACAAAAATGGACATACAAGGTTTTCTTCCAACAGCAGCGATATGTAAATGCACTATGAGAACATTAGTCTCGCAGGGCCAGACATAATCTCATAATTAGAACTTGTTAAACTTTTGGTGCTGGATTGCAGCCAAAACTGCTGCAAACAAGAGTACATCTCTCTAAAACCCACCCCCAAATTCTTCTAGTCAGTTCTCTTTTAATGTCAGGAGTGAAACAAACTAGCCAGTGAAATGCTATCGTTAGCTAGCAGAACTGTTTTTCCCTTGCAAGAGTTAATGTTTATTGTTACAGCATGTAATGAGTTCTCTGAACATGCTTAATTGTTCTTTGGGCTGAATTTTCAGCCATGCTAACTTGCATTACAACCACAGGCTAAAGACATGATAGTTGACTGTTGGACAGAGTTGATGAGCGCACCATCGCCCCCTCCCAGAGCCAATTTAAGGGGAGCCTGGCCACTTCCTATTTCTCCCATTAATCCAAAAACATGACTGCAAAACACTAAAGGAGCCTACGAGCAAATCCCCAAAGAATGGGGGCTAAGTGGCTGAAAACAAAAAACGAAATGTGAAATTTTTTGTTGTTAAAGAAATCACCAAAAGCTATATAGCAGCAAATAGGACAGTAGGACATTAGTATTCCTGATACTGAGTGCTGATTGGTTGGATTGCCTTACTACTACTGGGGGCTGATTAGCTAGCCAGCATTACTTCTACTGAGTGCTGACTAGTTGTCTGGCATTACTGCTACTGAGTGCTGATTGGTCAGCTAGCATTGCTACTACTGAGTGCTGATTGGTTGGCTAGCTTACTATTATTGAGTGCCGATTGGTTGGCTTGCATTACTGCTACTGAGTGACGATTAGTTGGCTAGCATTACTCTTATTGAGTACTGATTGGTCAGCTAGCATTACTTCTACAGAGTGCTGATTGGTTGCTGAGCTGATCAGCTCATTGGCTGAATAAATTCTTTGTGAAGCGGCATTGAAATATTTGCTGTTCTATACTGAGAAAACGAGTGAATTTTTCTATATAAATATAAACGTTCCATGTTTCTGTTGATTCTGATCCTGGAGAATAAGAGGGAAAATAATAAGGAATTAAAGGCACAACAGACAAAGATAGTTCCGCACAGTAGCTCACTATGACAAGTTCTCTCTCACATGCTTTCTGCACCTGACATATCAATAGACACGTGGCTTAAGGACATATTAATCAGCTTACTTCACAGACATATTCTTCCAAAGTATCTTCTATCGTTTCCTTCAAAGAACTGATGAGTGCCATTCGCAAGGAAGACGATATGCAAACGTTTTGTGGCACTGGACTTTAGCCAAACTACGTGATTACAGCGATCTTACAGATGTACTGCATTTTACACTGTACTTAATGACACCAATAAAATCCTGTGGAAGTCTGTGTGATATTATTTATGTTCCTGTGTGCTGCCAGACAGTGGAGGTGACAGAACCCAGGGATTTCCCAGTCTATAACTCAAATATGGCCATTTTATTTACTACACTATTAAAAAAGATGGTTCTTCAAGGGTTGTTTAGTAAAGGAAATGGTTCTATGTAGAACCATGACTTGTATATGGAACCATTCCATCCTTAAATGGTTGTCTGCATGGTGAAACTGTCCTTCAGATTGATAGAAAAGGTGTTGTATATGGCTCTATATAGAACCATATATTGAAAATAGTTTTATATGGCACCAAAAAATGTTCTGCTATTGTTACGATGTGAAGATGTAATAATAGAAGAACCATTTTGGTGCCATATAGAACTACTTTCAAAAAGGTTCTATACAGAACCACATTCAAAACATTCTCCATTAAAGTTTTCTTTGAGGACTATTTTGCCTTACAACACCATGCATGTGCACTATATAGACAAAAGTATTAGGACACCTACAGGAGCTATTCTGGCATCCCATTCTAAATCCATAGACATTAATATGGAGTTGGTCCCCCTTTGCAGCTGTAACAGCTTCCACTCTTCTGGGAAGCTTCTACAAGACCTTGGAGTATCTGAGGGGATTTTTGGCCATTCATCCAGACGAGCATTTGTGAGGTCAGACATTGATGGTGGACGAGAGGGCCTGGCTCACAATCTCTGTTCTAGTTCATGCCAAAGGTGTTTGATGGGGTTGAGGCCAGGGTCAATTTTCTGCACACCAAACTCACCCAGTCATGCCTTTATGCCTCTTGCTTTGTGCCCTGGGGCTCAGTCATGCTGGAGCAGAAAAGGTTCTTCCCCAAACTGTTCTCACATGGTTGGAAGCATAGAATTGTCAAAAATGTCTTGGTCTGTTGAAGCATTAAGATTTCCCTTCACGGGAACTCAGGATTCTAGGCCAAGCCCTGAAAACAATCCCAGAGCATCATCCCTCCTCCACCAAACTTTACAGCTGGCACAATGCAATCAGGCAGGTGATGTTCTACTGGCATTCACCAAACCCAGACTCGTCCATCAGGCTGCCAGATGGAGAAGCCTGATTCGTCACTCCACAGAATACGTTTCTACTGCTCCAGAATCCAGTGGCGGCGTGCTTTACACCACTCCATCCGGCACTTGGCAGGGTGCTTGGTGATGTCAGGCTTGCATCCAGCTGCTCAGCAATGGAAACCCATGCCATGGCGCTCCCAGTGCACAGTTTTTGTGCTGATCTTAATGCCAGCGGAGGTCTGGAACTCTGCAGTTATTGATTCAGCAGAGTGTTAGTGACTTTTATGCTCTTCAGCACTTGGCAACCCTGTGGTGTAACTTTACAAGGTCTGACACTTCATAACTGAGTTGCTGTGGTTCCTAAACGCCTCCACTTTTCAGTTGTACCACTCAAAGTTGATCATGGAATATCTAGAAGGGAAAAAATTTTGCGAACTGACTTGTTGCAATGCTGGCCTCCTATTACAGCACCACGCTCAAATTCAGTGAACGACCCATTCTTTCACAAATGTTTGCAAAGGCAGACTGCATGGCTAGGTGCTTGTTTTTTATACACCTGTGGCAATGATTCAGTGGTTAAAAGGTGTGTCCCAATACTTTTGTCCATATAGTGAACCTCTCCACCATGAATGGATTTAAAAAATATATGTTTTAGGCCAAAGTCTTATCTCAAAGATATGATAAAGCCATATCTCAGACATCAGGCAGGGTATTCACAAACATTGAATGTAATAACTTTCCTTGAGGAAGCTTTCAGAGGCATTAAACTCATCAGACGTCTGGTTCCTATCACCACCACCGCAACCAATTCTGACTCGAAGAACAAGAACGAAGCATTTCACATCAAATCACTCTGAATGACTTTGTTTACATCTCAGCTATATACAGAAATCAGTGGAATTCCCCGTTAGCTCACAGTCGAAGAACTCTTTCATGATTTGCGATTGTTTACCGAAAGGGTTGATAAAGTCTTTATGGTACTACAGTGAATGATTCATGGAAACACAGATCATCAACCCCATGTGCAACTTCACCCCTCCCTGCAGGAGACTAAATAAAAAAGCGGTGAAGACTTTGGGGAAAGTAAAAGCTCCCAATAAAGGACTAATCATGGTAAGAGATATTAAAAACACCTCTTGCGGTTCTGTGTTTGCCTGTCACTCTAGTGTTATTTTAAGTGTCTTTGCTGATGGTGATGTGTATGTATGGGTTTTTCAGATGCTGGTAGCTGGATTGCTGTTTTTCATGCTCTTCTCACTGCAGTTCTCTCAGGCCAGTCCTATACAGACTACGACCCGGAGCGTGCAGGGTGGGTAAACTCGGGATCTCCTGCTAGTTCATGCACCAGTGTGAATTAAATAGTGAACAGGATGAAAAGTTTTATCAAGTTGTGGTGTAAAACCATCCACTCTTAAAAAAAAAAGGTTCTTTAAGGGTTCTTTAGTAAAGAAAATGGTTCTGTATAGAACCATGAACACTCAAAGAACCTTTTGCATGATTAAAGGATTCTTTGCATCGTGAAATTCCTACCACTCCACAAAAACAGCGTGACAAAATGCATAGCACAGCTGCAGCTTTCTTGACTTAAAAAATTGGTATACATATATAAATATACATAAAATATATCTATAAAAACCCAAATGTCACGGTGTACACGTGGCAGAAACGTGAAATGTTTCTTTTATTAAAGAAATCACCAAAAGCTATATAGCAGTATATTTCCATTTCTTTGCAGCAAAAAGTTTTGGGCAGTAGCACACTAGTATTCCTGATACTGAGTGCTGATTGGTTGGCTTGCGTTACAGCTACTGAGTGTTGACTGGTTGGCTAGCCTTACTTTTACTGAGTACTGATTGGTTAGCTAGCATTACTTCTACTGAGTGCTGAATGGTTGGCATTACTGCTACTAAATGATGACTGGATCGCATTGCTGCTACTGAGTGCTGATTGGTTGGCTTGCGTTACTACTACTGAGTGCTGATTAGCTGGCTAGCATTACTGCTACTGAGTGCTGACTGGTTGTCTGGCATTACTACTACAGAGTGCTGATTGGTTGGCATTACTGCTAATAAATGACTAGATCGCATTACTGCTACTGAGTGCTGAATGGTTGGCTAACATTACTGCTACTGAGTCCTGATTGGTCAGCTAGCATTACTGCTACTGAGTGCTGATTGATTGGCTTGCGTTACTGCTACTGAGTGCTGATTAGCTGGCTAGCATTACTACTACTGAGTGCTGATTGGTCAACTAGCATCACTACTACTGAGTGCTCATTGGTTGGCTAGCTTACTATTATTGAGTGCCGATTGGTTGGCTTGCGTTACTGCTACTGATTGACAATTAGTTGGCTAGCATTACCTTTATTGAGTACTGATTGGTTGGCTAGCATTACTTCTACTGAGTGCTGATTGGTTGCTGAGCTGATCAGCTCATTGGCTGAATAAACTCTTCGCGAAGCGGCATTGAAATATTTGCTGTTCTATACTGAGAAAACGAGTGAATTTTTCTATATAAATATAAACGTTCCATGTTTCTGTTGATTCTGATCCTGGAGAATAAGAGGGAAAATAATAAGGAATTAAAGGCACAACAGACAAAGATAGTTCCGCACAGTAGCTCACTATGACAAGTTCTCTCTCACATGCTTTCTGCACCTGACATATCAATAGACACGTGGCTTAAGGACATATTAATCAGCTTACTTCACAGACATATTCTCCCAAAGTATCTTCTATCGTTTCCTTCAAAGAACTGATAAAGGCCAGTTTTATTAAGTTGTGATGTAAAACTGTACACTCTTAAAAAAGATGGTTCTTCAAGGGTTCTTTAGTAAAGAAAATGGTTCTATATAGAACCATGAACACTCAAAGAACGTTTTGCATGATTAAAGGGTACTTTACATTGTGAAATTCCTACCACTCCACAAAGACAGCGTGACAAAATGCGTCGCACAGCTGCAGCTTTCTTGACTTAAAAATGAATGATATATTTAAATATATAAATATACATAAAAATATATTTAAAAACCCAAATGTCACAGTGTACACGTGGCATTTCTTACATCGTGACACTCATTGTACATGAATAGTGCTGTTCCATCAATCAGAGCATCATATTCATCAAACTCTGCTCTCTTTTTGGTTTTCCAGAATCTTCTGCCCTTGATGTTTCCATCCAGGCCTCCTCATCTGGCCACACAAGAGAAGAATCAAAACAAAATAGTGCAAATCCACAACAGAGAAGCTCCATCACCCAGAGGTCAGGTCTCCAGAGGCCCACATACAAGGACTTCCCCTCCCTAAAATGGGTCAGGTGGTCAGGCACACCACCCAGGTGGGCGGTGAGGGTGAAAAATGAGTGTACCAAGAGGTTTGACTACGTATGTGCTCCGTTGACAGGGTGCAACTGGGCAGCCGGCTACTACAACACCGGCAGAGAAGCCCTATGCCATAGCCCATGTGGAGGGAAAGAGCAAATAAGCCCCACGTTTGATGTGTTGGTAAATGAAAACAATGCAGTGCATTTAGAGTGGCAAAACGTGACTGTTGACCCATACCCACTCAACGCGGTTCATGCTTCAGCAATGGAAAATGCTGTTGGAAAAAGCCCACATGGTGTGGGGACCTTTCATATACCATCAAAAAGGTTCTTTGTTCCATGGAAAGGTCTTGAAGTGATACTTCAAGAAGGTTTTGAAGTGCTGGTGATGACAGGCGGATATTCCCAGCAAATCTATGACGTAAAATACCACATGGAAGGGATGACTATAGTCTCCAAGACCTCAGTCATCGTAACATCGATATCTGTTGCCAACAACGGCAATGCCATCCTGAAGGAAAGTGTGAATTTGAGTAAGAGCGTTCAACAGCACAGCACTTGGCAGACGAGTGATTCGGACCCTCTGTCCATCTCGTCCTCCATCAGAGCTTCGGTTCCCTTCTTTGCTGCTACCACTGGCCTCACGTACGAGAAAACCTTCCCTAACATGAAGGGCAACTCTGTCACCGAGACAGACACTCACTCGCTGACCCTTGAGATTGACGTCCCTCCCAGACACATCTGCCGGGTGAAAATGGTTGGGGAGCAGTACAAAGTGAGCATCCCCTTCACTGCCAAGCAGGTCAGGGTCTATGACAACGGCGATGAAAGAAGAACCGTGATCACCGGTGTCTACCACGGCACTCAGGTCGGTGAGATCAAAGCCGTGGCTGAAAGCTGTGTGCTGATTGATGGAGAACATCACCTCTAACCAGATCCACACTGTGAAGAACTTCTGTAATTTCTGCAATAATACACTGTGTTCAAGCGAGTATAATATTTTAAATGTGTTTTACAGTTTTATGCAGCATCTTGCGTCAAATTCAGGTAGAACATTTACAGCACAGGCAGATTTTACTGTGTTAAACACCTTATTGTATAGCTACTGCAATATTATTCCAACAGTACTGTAATAACACGTCAAACCATACAGTATCATCAGCTAAACTGTAAAAGTAGGTGCCAAAATTACTTTTCTGAAACAACTTTGTTTTTTAGTTTTCCGATGATGACATGTTAAAGAACTAACGAAATCTAGCTGCATACTAGCTTACCTAGCACAACTTGTACCAGCATGGGAGTTCACAAACATTTTTGTCATATATGTAATTAAGTAATTTCAGCTAGCTATGGGATTTGCAGTGTCATGATAGCACCAAGCTAACAATGGTGTACATTCATTTTCCAATGTTAAGTTTAATACTACACAGCTGTAGCTAAAACACTGACTTTTGGAGCTTGTAAGACATGGATGCATCATATTTGTACTTTGTAGATTGCAGTTTTCAGTGAATTCTTAAGTAAATACTTCATCATAAAGTTTAACTGTGAGTATTATTAGAGAAGCATGTTAGCTTTTGAAAGAACTGACATGAAATAATAGATTCTTTTGTTAGGAGTTTTTACTTTACATGTATTTAACATTTTAACTGCAATTTTAGAACTGCTGTTTTACATATATATATATATATATATATATATATATATATATATATATATGCACAAAACAACAATAACATTTAGATCACAATAGCAATAACCCAGATAGCAAGCGTAAATCGGTCCGCTGGCTTGATAAGGTCGACACCACGCTGACTGTATGCCACTGCTGGTCCACCCTCAGACTACCCACATTATTACCCAGCATGCAAGGTTTTCAATCCCATCAAACGGATTGTAAATGCACACAGCCTTTTATTTTGGAAAATAAACTAAGAATAATATTACAATCAAGAGAAAAAATATTTAATGAGTCTAATAAAAACTGATTTTGTTGAAAATGTTGTTGCTGACACTGGGCTAGATTGGTTACAGCTGTATAACCGGCTTTAATTATGATGTTGCAGTTAAAATGATTTATTAAACTAATTTACAAGGATAATGAAAGAAAGAAATAAAGGAAAAATAAGTCAGTTGGATTATGAGTGGAAAGTGAGTGATGAAAAGCATCATTTTGTCTAGTACTCTGCTTAACCACTGGTGGGCCGCATGGAAAACGCTGAGTAAAAATACAGTGGGCGAACAGTGACCCACTATCCTCTTGCTATATGTGGAGTACATTCTGTAACAAACTAAAAGGTCAGCAAGACTAGCTGACAATTTAAACCAAAATAGCTATAATAGCTGGAAAAAAGGCCACTTTTGCGCCACTCATTTTTCAAACATGATTAAATGAATTCAATTTCTCTTTATTTTATTTTATTTATGCTAATAGTGATTGTATAACAAACAAGCAACCACTTAGCAACACCCTAAAGATACCGTAGCCACTGCCTAGAAACACCCTAGCAACCACAAAGATACCATAGCCACTGCCTAGAAACACTCTAGCAATCACCAAAGACACAATAGCAACACCCTAGCAACCAGCTGGGTTACCACAGCAACCACTTAGCAACATCCTAGCAACCACCAGGGATACCATAGCAACACCCTGGCAACCACCTGGAATACCACAGCAACTACTTAGAAACGCCCTAGCAAGTCAAGGCACTGACTCGAGTTCCCATTTATGACTGGTGTGTTTGGGTTTGTTGTCTCTCTGCAAGACCCACCTTCTGTTGAGCTTCAGTTCACAGACGAATGTCCTCCTAGAATTTGCTGATCTTTGTTTTAGCAGATTTTAAACAGGCGGCAATGATCTTCATGGAGGGGCTTCTTCCCTGCTAACACTATTCTAGTTCAGTCTTTGCCTGATGGTGGAGTCACGAACACTGACATTATCCAGTGCAAAGGGGATCTACAAACAGGTGTATAAAATCAGGCACATAGCCATGCAGTCTCCTTAGACAAACACTGGCAGTAGAATGGCTTGTACTGAAGAGTTCACTGACTTTAAATATCACTTTAAATGTCATGGTCATAGGATGCCACCTTGGCTACAAGTGAGTTGGTAAAACATCAGCCCTGCTAGTTCTGCCCCTGTCAACTGTAAGTGCTATTAATGCGAATGGAAGCATCTAGAAGAGACAACAGCTCAGCCACTAAGCAGTGGACCACACAAAGTCACAGAGTGGGGCTGTTGAGTGCCGAAGTGCGCAACAATTGCATATCGTCTGTTGCATCACTCACTCACTCTCAGTTCCAAACTGTTTCTGGAAGCAACATCAGCACAAAAACTGTGCGTCAGAAGCTTCATGCAATGGGTTTTCCATGGCGGCACACAAGCCTAAGATCACAAGCCTAAGATCACAATGCACAAAGCGTCGGCTGGAGTGGTGTAAAGTATGTCACTGGACTCTGAAGCAGTGGAAACGTGTCGTCTGGAGTGCATCATGCTTCGGTTTGACATTTTAGACAATCATATGCTTCCAACTTTGTGGGAGAGTTTGAGGAAGGCCTTTCACTGTTCCAGCATGACTGTACCCCTGTGCACAAAGCGAGCTCCATAAAGACATAGACTGATGAGTCTGCTGTGGAGGAATGTTCATTGTGAGCCAGGCCTTCTTGACCAACATTGATGCCTTTTGACTGAATGGGCACAAATTCCCACAGGCACACTCCCAAATCCAAAAGCCTTCCCGGAAGGGTGGAGGGTGTTATGGCCACAAAAGGTGAAGTAACTCCATTTTAATGCCCATGGTTTTGGATTGGGATGTCCAAAAAAGCTCATTCAGGTGTGATGGTCAACTGTCCACATACTTCTGGCCACATAGTGTACTTTTGCCAAAGAAGACATGTAATGTTGGATCACTTTGTTCAATAACTGAATAAAAAAGCTATATAATTGTGTTATCTGTTTTACTGGGTTCTCCTTATCTATTGTTATGATTTAGATGAGGATTTGAACACATTTTCATAATTTGAAAGGGTCCACAAACTTTCTAGCACCGCTGCACCTGTCTGTCTCATGTTCCCTATGAAAATCACTAACACTTGTTTTCCAGAGAGTAATAGTCAATAGTGGCCGTCCCTGGTATAATTAAGTAACACTGCCACCCAGAGGTCAGTTTCTATTGTAACATAGAGTGCTCTCCATAATGTAAGGGACAAAGACATTTTTTTATTTGCCTCTGTACTCCACAGTTTTACATTTGTCCCTAACCAATTCACATATGGTTAAAGTGCATCTCAGATGTTAATAAAGGATAGTTTTATACCTTTTACTTTCACCATGTTAGTGTACAAGAACTCTAGTGACCTGCACAGAGCACTGGTCTCAACCACCCTGAACACCTTTAGGATAAACTAGAAATGACGGCTCTGTTTCTACATTAAGTGACTGACTTGGCCAGTTAAAAATATTCTGGCTTTTAGCTTTGAAAAACTGCTTTGTTGCTTTGGCAGTATGTTTGGGATCATTGTCTTCTGTAGGATGATAGGTTTGGATGCCTTTTTCTGAACTTAGATTGATCAGATGTTTCTATATACCTCAGAATTAATTTTGCTGCTGCCAACAGCAACTGCATCATTAATGGAGATGAGGGAGTACCACAGCCATAAGCCCAGGCTATAACACTCCCACCACCATGTTTTACAGGTGAGGTGGTTTGCTTCGGACGTTCGGCAGTTCCTTTTTGCATCCACACATTACTCTTGCCATGGCTCTTCTACAAGTTCTTCAGTCTTGGTCTCATTTGTCCACAAGACATCTTTTCCAGAACTGTTGCAAACTGTAAGCTAGACATCCTGTTTTTGTGGCTAACTTAGGGGTTTGCATCTTGCAGGGTAGCCTCTGGGTTCCTGTTCATGAAGTCTTCTATAGACAGGGGCCATTGGCAAATCCACATCTGCCTCCTGAAGTGTCTCCTATCTGTCTGACATGCGTATGAGGATTTTCCTTCTTCTGTCACCAGCTGTGGAGCTCTTCCTTGGCTGACCAGTCCCTCTATGGTTACTAAGCTCACCAGTTCACTCTTTCTTATTAATAGTGTTCCAAACAAGTGACTGTGGCAAGATTGTGGTAAGGTTCGGCCCTTGTCTATTACTGTTTTGTTCTTTTTGTATAAAAAGTGCTGTAAATTTTACATGGCAAAACTAAAATGCATAAAAATGCACTTAAAGTGACCCTTATTAGTCCCACAACGGGGAAGTTTCACCTCTGCAGTGAAACACCACATACACACTAGTGAATGCACACACACTAGAGGGCAGTGAGCACACTTGCCCCGAGCGGCAGGCAGCCCTACCCACGGTGCCCGGGGAGCAGTCGGGGGTTAGGTGCCTTGCTCAAGGGCACTTCAGTCATATACTGTCAACTCAGGGGATCGAGGCAGCGACCTTCTGGTCATAAGGCTGCTTCCCTAACCTCCAGCCCTCGACTGCCCCATTTTATTATTTATTTATTATTAATTATTATTAATTATTCAAATCTGAGAATATGTACTTTAACTATATGTGTATTGCTTGAGTGCAAGTTTAAAACTGTGGAGTACAGAAGCAAATTAAAAATATATATATATATGCCTTTGTCCCAAACATTACAAAGGGCACTGAATGACAACTGTGTTATTCCAAGAATCCCAACATAGCCATTTAATGTTCTGGTGCTATAAAAATAACTCCAACATGTAATTAGACCAATAACACTTTGAGGAAACTCTAACAACAGTGTAAGCCTACTTAGCAAGACAACGTTTTATTGTACTCTAAATATAAGTGCATATAAAATGGCTCAACGATGCGAGACTGGAATTTCGTTCCGTGTCAATACTCATTTAGTTCAGTTGCTATGCTATTTATAACCATATAAAGAATGAAGTGTGTGGGTGCAGAAAAGCTACCAGATGAAAAGAACACATTGGGCTTGTTGTGATGGATGTTTTATGAAATATATTTATTATGAAGGGGAAATTCAGCTACTGCCATTACAGATCATAAAATGTAAATATGGCAGCTCACAATGCTAACTATCCCATTTCACTGGACACAAGGTGGACGCAGGTGCTTTCTGGGGATGCTCATTTAGGGTAGGAGAGTGTGGATTTGTCCCCCTGGTCACAGATCAGAGCTCAGTCTTGCACTGTCCTATTGTAATGCATTATTCTATAGCATGGCTTAAAGAAGCAGGTCCTAGATCACTGGACAAGGGCAAGTCCAACCCCCCAGGCTCAGAGGCAACCATGGCAACTAGTTTAAAAGCAATGTGCCACGTCTGGAGCACCAGGAAGCCAGCGTTAGCACGATGACGTCTCATGGACGCCTGCTCTACTACTGGAAGGTTTCAGCTTAATCTGTCGCCCAGCTGACAGCAGGTCCGTTCCAGTGGAATTCCACCGATTTTTAGGAGTTTCTACATAATTAAGTGGTTAAGATGTAAACAAAGTCATTCAGAGTGGCTTGATGTGAAATGCCGCTGCAGAAAAACGTACCAGGTCACAGTGATGGTGACAGGAACCAGAAAAGATTAATGTCTCTAAAAGCTCCCTCCGATAGTTTTAGAGAAGGTTTGGCTTACGAAATTCATTCATTCATAGTGGAAGGATACATTCAAGGTGTTATAAGGCTAAATAGTCCCCCAAAGAAAAATTCGCACTATGTTCTAATTATTTACATTACATATAAAAACCTCGAAAGGTTCTCTGGTGGTTTTGGACAGTAAATAAAGTGGCTATATTTGTGTTGTAGACATTGTGACCCCTGGTTCCTATCAGCACCACTGTAAAGAAAAGAGTTGGCAAGTTTCTCTACAAGGAAACATTTCACTTCAAACAACTCTGAATGACTTTGTTTATGTTTGTTTTTTATTATTTAAACATGTAGAACTTTGAAAAACAGGTCAAATTAAGACAACAACTTTTTTTCCCCATTGCACTTTATGAGCAAACGTCAGGTTTAACGGAATTAGTGTAAATAACTGCTCAAGTTAGACCGTCATCATGTTGACGATGTTCTGTTACGTCAGTTGTAAATTTACCGTTTCCGTTGCTTGGTTAACTTTGCGGCAAGCCAGTTGGTAACGTAATGAGTAAATGTGTCTCCTCTGTTTTACCTCATCGCAAACTTATGTCATTCTCTCGCTAGCAGTGTGTTGCATTCACGCGAAATGAAATGGTAGCAGCATGATAGCATGAGTCGAGTCAGCTAGGCCTTATAAGAACGGTTTCACTCATTCACATACCAAAGAAACAGCACACAGAGGAAATGAAGAGGAGACTAGAGCCTTTTGCAAATGATGACCACTACATCAATACTGAAGCCAGTCCAGAACCTTTTAGAAGAGGGGAAAAGCCTGGGGAGAGGAGATCACCTCCGATGTATCTCTAAGGGGGAACATGAGTGCAGTGGCGCTGTTCTGATCGGCTGGTAAACAGCGCCAGCTGGAGGCAGGTTTATGTAGTGCTGCTCTGAGGGACGACTCTTTGGCGGGCGGTCTTGGGCCGGTGTCGAGGGGTCGGGGGGGAGCTGCGCTCGCTCTCCGATTCAGAGGGTTCCGTTTCGGCCTGGGGGGAGCCCGTGTCCCCCACCAGCTCTCTCAGAAACTTAAACTTGGACAGGAACAGCTGCCACACCACATACCAACCTGTAAAGCAAGAGCAGATTACACCCATTAGCTGAAGTAGTCTAAGAACGAAATGGGAACCAACAGAACTTACAGTTCTACTTCATTTTCCACCTCCTTGAGAACCATCATAATAACCACAATTAATGTTTTAATTACCTTTTTGTTCAGTTTACGGCACTCTGAAGCATCTAATTAGGCTAATTAGCTTCTTTGCTACCCTTACTAGCTAGCTCAGGGTTTGGCAGCATGCGGCTCTGGAAGTGGAACAGGAAAACTACAACACAAAGCTTGTGAATGAGAAGCTGATTTCAGCCTCGTAAAAAATTACACCTACAAAAACAGAAACTTCTCCACTTTTGAGTAAAAGTTTCCTGCTGGAGATGCGAGAAAAGCAGCTATTGCTGAGCAAAAGCTTAAAGCAGAGAACATATTAAAACATATTTTGAGCCAAGATGGTAATGGTTGTGGCTCCCAAGGTGGTTTGGTTTTTGTTGAAAGGACAAAATTTGGGTTGCCAACCCCAGAGCTAGCTTGACTTATTGGCCGACATTAAACAACCTAATGTACTGACTACATATATACAGACTCGTGAACAGTCTGCTGAGTGTAAAAATATGAGCAAAAACCTTTATTCTGTGGAGGCTAGCATATATGCTAATATTGTTAGCATTCTAACTAGCCTATGTGACCTTAGCAAATGCTTTACAAAGTAATAATGTAAAATTAGCAACATTATCATAGCATTCATGTGCTTATTGGTGATGTAATAGTGCATGGAATGGTGCTTCTGATGGAAGAGTAAAGAATTTTCTACATTCTTCTTGGCCATTAGGTCCAAATGATGCCAAAGCTTGTACGGAACTGATGGTCCTGGACTAACTGTCGACAGAATAATACAGTTCCAGTTTTCTGGTACCATATCATACTTTACCATACTTTGCACACTGGAAAAACGCACTAATATGAGCTATCACAATACGTCATATCGCTAATTTGTTCATTAATATACAATTAACATGTGCTAATATTTAATAATAATATACACTATGATCATAATGTATACTACAACATCTGATACTGTTATTATACTATTTTAATCAAACAAGTTGCAGCTTCACCAGAGATTTTTTAGGTCCCACTAAGACAGGTGCCGGCCACCCACATGTTAAGATGAGCCATTTTGTCCTTTCAACAAAAATCAAACCATCTTGGAGTCACAACATTTTATGTCCATTTTACCATCTTGGCTGTAAATATGTCTTCGTATCTGTTAATGTACTAGTATAGGCTAAAAATATTATAGTCTATAAACAAAAACGCAGACTTACTTTGCTTTGCTTTAAGCTTTGGCTCAACTATAGCCGCTTTTCTCGCATCTCCAGCAGGAAACGTTTCCTCAAAAGTGGAACAGTTTCTTGTAAAACGTCTCTCAATGTTCACTTTTTTACGAGGCTGAAGTCAGATTCTCATTCGCCAGCTTCTTGTTCGAATTTCCCCATTCCACCTTAAATGGTGCCTGAGGCGCCAGAATGTAACTGCTGTACAATTTAAGGCAGAATGGGACAATTCGAATGAGAAGCTGGTGAACGAAAAACTGACTTCAGCTTTGTGACTTTTTAGTGTTTGACAGTTTTTCATTGCAGATTAAACGTATCAGGAAACCAGCTGGAGTGATTAGAAACACAAATAAATCCATTTGTCTCCAAATTATCGATGTTCATATTAAATCTCTCTCTTTGCCTTTTCGTTAGCTACTAGCTAGCTATGCGGGACTGGTGTCTGCGTTGCTGTGTGACCTGCAGTCTATGCTCAATCTTCAGGGTTAAAGGTTAATTTAGCAGTTATACATTAACTCCACTTTTTAAGACTATTTATTGTTAAAACTGTGTTAAACGATCAGCAGAGCTTAATTTTACTACAAAGGAGGATTATTTTATTTTTCCCTAAATGTCTAATTCTGCTGTGGAGCCGCAACAGGACAGTAAAAGAGCTGCATGTTGCTGACCCCTGCACTACACTGTCACACTGTGATCCCATACTTTAGTTAATGTCAGTAGAGCTGTTTTAATGTGGAATTGGTCTGAGCACCTTCTCAGGTGATTGTAAAGGCTGCAGTGCTAACCTTGCATGCTCTGTATGTTAGCTAGAGTACCATCAGTCTACCAACTGGCCCAGAAAAAAAATAAATAAAAAAATCTGTGGGAAACTATTAATACTATTAGCTCAACGCTGTGGGTCTGAAAGGATGTGTAGCTGAGAAGCCCTTACTGAGAAAAGGAAACAGACAAAAAAGAGAAAACCCAAAGAGAAAATCTGCAAATCAAGCAAAGAAGCTGCTGAACTGACCACCCCAGAGTCCACACCTCAACATCACTGAATACGTTTGGGATTAGTTGGATCATGAGGAGCAGAAAATGCAACCAACTTCTAAGACTGAACTTTGGAGGTGTGGAAAAAATATTCCTGCAGATTTCTTTGAAAAAGTCTCCTGAACAGAATGGAAGCAGTAATAAAGCTTAAATATGGACACACTATGTGTATTTCATTGTTGAAGCTACTGTGGAATCTGATGCTTAAAAAGGAATAACTTGTATTTAATAGCCAATTTGACTGGTCTGACTTTTGTACATTAGTGTAATATGATGAATTATGCTTATTATAATCAGGGACATAAACTAACAAAGCAAAAAAAGGTCAGTTTTGATTTCAGGTTGACACTAGTGAATTTGGGTAAGTTAAATAATGTCAGCATGTGGTGGCTTTTAGACTCGGATAGAGCCAAACAGACTATGATTGAGGAAACAGCACCCACAGCTCTCCAACAAGTCTACAGTGAAATCAGGCCTGCAGAAAACTGGCCTTGTTTTGTAATGACTGTCTGTATCTCGCAAGCTCTTCCCTGAGGGAAGCTACGAAATGCTACGAAACTCTTGTGTGGGCTGGACTTTAACACCACAGCATGTGTCTCTGTCTCTGCTATGTGGTCGTGGTCACGTCTGTCATGCCTATGACAATAACCAATAAAGAAAATGACAAAAAATGCTGAATTTTTCATGTAAAATAAAAAAATTAAAAAAAAACTGTTTAAACATTAAAAAACAAGCAAAATGCTTTTATTTGGTATGTTTACTGTACAACCCCAAAAAACTAAAATAGACAGTGTGACAGATAAATAAGTAAAATGCTTATAAAAATATCAACATATGTATTTATTAGTCAATTAATGTACAAAAGTATATGTCCACAAGTTTGTAGACACTCACTCACCCAGTGTTTGTCCTGAACTGAAGAGTATAAATAGGGAGTTTGTCCCCCTTTGCTGCAGTAACAGCCTCTACTCTTCTGGGAAGGCTTTACACTAGATGATGGAATATTGCTGTGAGGATTTGATTGCATTCAGCCATAAGAGCATTAGTGAGATCTGGTACTGATGCCGGATGTTCAGTTCTGAATCACTCCAGCTCATCCCAAATGTACTGGATGGAGCTCCATCACTCCAGAGAATGCACTGCTCCAGCCCAAATCTGGGGGGCTTCACACCTCTCTAATATTTTACCAATATCGTTACATATAATTAAAAAAAGACATTGTGACGTTTGGTTCCTATCACCACCACTCTTACAAAACCAGAGTTGTTAGGTTTCTCTAGAACTTTCCACATCAAACCACTGTCAGTGGCTGTTTACATCTCAACCACTGAATTATGCCGTTTCTAACCAGTGGAATTCCCCTTTAAAGTAGCAGAAGGGGTGTCTAGAGATTCACATATTTATCTGATACTAACACTGTGTGTGAAATTAAAAAAAAAAAGTGTCAAAAAACACTGTCAGAATTAACAGCATCTCATGCAGTATTCTGAACCTTATTCTATGTCCGTGTTTTGGCAACTGTGCCATTCTGAAGCTGTCAGAGGTAACATATTGGCTTTGCAGTGACTCCAGACTGAGGCTTTAAAGGGCTCATATCACAGAGTTTGATGTAATATAAGACTATCCAGTTGCATAAATAAAAGGAAAAGTCAGAGGGAAATAAGTAAAACATTTCCAAAACTGAAGTTGTTAAAAGTGATTAAAAGATGCTTATTATATTATACAAAGTCTATTTTAGTCTAAAATAGACTAAGAACCCTGCAAGACCTAGTAGACCATCAAAACAACTTCTAAGACTGAACTTCGGAGATGTGGTAAAATATTCCTGCAGATTTCTTTGGAAAGACTGAAAGAAAATCTCCTAAATAGAAGCTGTAATAAGGTCAATATAGTGTAGCTTGACTAATAAGACTAATAACTGAATTAATAAGACGTTGTGATACATACCAAAGAGCATGAACAGCAGGACACAGAGCAGCGTGGCCACAATGACCAGCAGCGTTAAACCCACACTCTGCCACATCTCTCTTTCCTACTGAAGAACACACAATGACTCAAATTAGTTAGTTATTCCTGCTGGCTGTAGCACAGTATTAAGATATTCTTAACTCTTTAAAGGAGAATTTCACTGATTTTGCAGAATTTCATCGTTCAATAGTTAAGATGTATACAAAGCCATTCAGAGCCGTTTAATGTGAAATGCTCCACTCTAGAGAAACTTACAGAACTGTTCATAGTGGTGGTGATAGGAACCAGACGTCTGAAGAGTTTAAGGTCTCTAAAAGTTCTCTCACAGAAAGTTGATGTCTATGAATAGGTCGTCTGATACCAAAGAACCTTGTTTTATGGTAGTTTTAAGATAAAATATTCGGCCAAAGTATTACTTTTTGTCTCAAAAAGTAGAGTGGGGAGGTACCTGCAAGGCGTTGTGAGGCAAAATATACCAAAAGACAACCGATTTATCACTATTTTACCATATTCAATATAACATATAAAAGCTCGGAAGACGTGCAGGTTCACTGTTCACTGGCGGTTTTGCGTTGTAAATAAAAAGGCTTTTTATCTGCTATCTGGCCATTGTAGACATTGCGACCCCTGGTTCTTATCACCACCACTGTAAATAAGAAAGTCAATAAGTTTCTCGGTACTAAACCATTTCACGTTAAAACACTCTGAACGACTTTGCTTACATATAGACAATTTAATTAAGCAGACAAGTTGAAAAAAATCAGTTGAATTCCCTGTTGAAGGACCACTCCACCAATTTCTCAAAATTTCTACATAATTAGGTTAAGATGTGAGCAAAGTCATTCAGAGTGGTTTACTGTTCACAGAGGTGGTGTCAGGAGGCACACGTCTAAAATGGTTAATGCCTCTAAAATCTCCCTCACAGAAAGTTACATGAAATGGTTATATATCAACTGCCTGGTGCCTGAGACATTATTTCATGATAGTTTTGTGATGAAGTTTTGGCCTGAAACGTCTTGTTGATCCATTTATTTAAATTAACTCATGGAAGGGGGGTTGCAGGGTACTGTACGGTGAAATAGTCCTCCCAAAAAACTTATTTTTACATTTTTTCCACTATTTTAGCATCTTAAACATTATATATAAAACCTTAGTAGACACATGTAGGTCCACTGGTGGTTCTGGATAGTAAACAAATTGGCTATATTTGTGTTGTAGACATGACGACCCCTGGTTCCCATCACCACCACTGTAAAGAAAACGGAGACAATGAACCATTTCACATCAAACCATTCTGCATGACTTCGTCTGCATCGCAACGACTGAATTGCAATGCAAAAAATTTGAAAAATCGGTGGAATTCCCCTTTAAAGTAGCTCCGCAGACAATACAGCAGTGTTGCCCCTCCTTCTCTCTATATCAGACTACACTTTACTAACCTACAGTGCGTTGAGGGTGAAGCAGGCGAGGTGGCCGCTGCCCACACGGACGGAGAGTGGACACACGGCTCATGGACGGCGGCAGGTCCGCTTCTCTACATCGCTGTCAGGCTGACAGGGGATTTCTTATTTTACTTCAGAGCTCAAACACAAGCTGCAGTCAACAAGACGACGCTCCGGACGCAACTGGCCCGGAAGAGGTCGAGCAGCGCTACGCTTGCTGGGTAACGTAGTTCTCTAGGACCGTTCCCTCATTTATTCATTCATTCAGTGTTCCACAGCAGGGAAAACTATGGAGGCCCAATCCCGCAACTTAAAAAAACATCCAGCACCTAATTTTTTATTTATTCATTTTTTTATTAAGTGAATTACAATGCCATTATTTTACAGTACTAAATTATTATTTTGATGCTTTTATGTTTTTTTATGCTTTTGAGATGAATATACATTACATGTAAATAAAAATAAATGTAAATATATAAATACATATATTAAATAGTAATTATATAGAATAAATAGAAATTAGTATCACAAAATTATGACTTAGAATCTGAAATTCATTAGATAATATCTCAAAATAATGACTTAGTTTCTCAAAATAATGCGATAGTATTTCAGAATAATGACTTAGTATCGCAAAATAATGGCATAGGTGTTAACTTAAGAATAAAAAAAAATAGGCACTGGATATTTTTTATTTTAAGTGATGGGAATGTGCTTCCACAGAAAACTGAATTTCCCCCATTTTTTTTTTTAATAAAAGAATGTAACATTTTATATAAATATTGCTAACATCCCAGCTCTCCAGTCCATACAGCACATATGAAAACTGTGCTGCCAAATTAGCCCATTTTGAATTCATTGTTTCTGTGATGTCCCCAAAATCAACATATATACATACTTTCACATATTCAGCCCACAGTAGTACAGCAGTTCAGCCCCGCCCACTCACGCTGGAGATATAGAGGAGTTTCAGCTCATTTACTTAAGTCAGAATGGAACTCAGCAGAGCTAAAAAACAAGAAACATGTATGGATATGAACCTTTCAAGTAAAGTAATGGTTCACAGAATAATCAAATGTACACGTTATCCCCGTTACCTCAAATGTAAACGGTCAGCCAAGAAAAGTTTGTTTTCTGAAGTTTTGCCTTATAACTACAATGCTACTGTAACAGAAGTCTATGTTACACACATACAATTTGGGTGACCTTTGACTTACCATTGATTACTTTTTAGCTACATTAGCCTCATAGCGCAGTGCAAAACTAAAAAAGCAGACCTCAGACACTAAACATGTCTTGGTTGATCGACTACATTTGAGGTGACGGGATAATTAAAGTTGATTTCCCGTCAAACCACTTTTTTAAAACAACAAACCAGACTAGAGGGATCACATTTAGAGTAGACTACTGAACAAACAACCTACAACGTGTTACAAAGAGTTGAAAACATGAAACTGCACAAAAAAGTGAAACAAAACGTGGATGGAAAATAAATACATTTAAATAGGACTATATTAAATGAACACAAAGTCCTCAGATGTACTGGGTAAACCGGTTTCAGCTGGTTTTTACTTGCTGTAGTGTTGGGATAGTATATCATTTGTTAGGTAGTCTAATCTTTTTATGACTGTCGTCTCATCATTGTTGTGTTTCTTTGCACTTATGATGTAATAAAAATAAGTCCATGAATTATTTAACACAGATCCCAGTGAAATTTGTGTCTATTTCCTCAATATAGACCTTATCAGCTTTCCCTCACTGATGGGTGAATGTCCACTCTAATGCTGTATTTTCAAGGGAATCCAGCAGAGGGACCAAGACTCCCAGACATTCTTCCAATGTCCCACAATGATAATTAAAATGACCTCAAAATAAGAATAAATCACACAAAGCTGATGTATGTTTACCATCATCATCTCACTAATCATCTAAGTCAATTATTCTCCTAGGTCGTGGGGGGTGCTGGAGCCTATCCCAGCGGTCATTAGGCAGAAGGCAGGAAACACTCTGGACAGGCCACCTGTTCATCACAGGACAGATACACAGACATACATATTCACACGTACATTCACAACTAGGGGTAATTTATTATCTACAACTGGTCTGACTGTATGTCTTTGAACTGCGGGAGGAAACCGGATCATGTATGTATATTCTTTGTTCTAACTCTAAATGAACCAACCAAAAATAATATTTTTTTTATTATTATTTTTGTGATTTTTAGTCATATTGTGCAGGAGAAACAGCACTGACTTTACAGATGTTGAACTATTATTTTTTTGCAAAACAACAATTATTATGCTTGTTTAAAGTAAAAATGCATTAAAACTGTCTGTTCTATTTTAAAATGATTTTGTAGACATTTTGCAGACATGCAGTCAGGCCAGTTGGAGATACTAAACTGCCCCTAGATGTGAGGCTTTACAATTTCTGTTTTAAACTTGTTTCCCTCACCCACTTCGACTGACCACTCGGATCTGTGTCACATCTATATTACACAAGTGGCCACTCATGGCAGGAGGAGGAGAAGATTATGCAAATTGACCCCTTGAGTAAGTTAGCCTCAGTGGGCTGATCAGCTAGCCATGCAGACTTCACAATGCAAAACGTGTTTTTAAGAAGTTTGAGCATAACGTGCATAATGTGTGAGAGTAATTGCTTTGTCTGGCTTAAACTTGATGTAAACTTGGCGTTAAACTTGGCCTTTCTTTTTGTTGTTATTAGCCATGTAGCCTTTAGCATGCTAACTAGCCAGCCAGCTGAGTAAAATGACAAAGTTATATCAACAGTCATGTATAGCAGATGGAGCAGTGTTCACCTCACCTTCCACTAGGCTATTGGACACCCAGGCTATTTGCCTGCTAGGCTATGTGGCCCAATATCAAAAATGAATTTGACATCCATGGCTTAGAATATATACACTTACCAAGCACTTTATTAGGAACACCTGTACACCTAATCATTCACTTATCTACTCAGCCAATCATGCGGTAGCAGTGCAGTGCATAATATCATGCAGATACAGGCCTCAGCTTCAGGTAATGTTCACATCAACCATCATATTGGGACAAAAATGTGATCTCAGTGATTTTGACAGTGACATAATTGTTGGAGCCAAACGGGCTGGTTTGAGTATTTCTGTAACTGCTGATCACCTGGAATTTTCACATACAACACTCTCTCGAGTTTACTAAGAATGGTGCAATAAAGAAAAAACATCCAGTGAGTGGCAGTACTGCGGACAGAAACACCATGTTGATAAGGGAGGTCAACAGAGAATGGCTAGACTGGTTCAAGCTGACAGGAAAACTGTGCCAACTCAGATAAGAAAAGCAGAAAAGCATCTCAGAATGCATAACACATTGAACCTTAAGGTGGATGGGCTACAACAGCAGAACCAAAACTGGACAGTTAAAGACTGGAGAAGCGTAGTCTGGTCTGATGCATCCCCATTTCTGCTATGCCACACAGTTGATAGTTGGCAGAATTTGGCATCAACAGCATGAATCCATGGACCCAACCTGCCTTGTGTCAACAGTCCAGGCTGGTGGAGGTGAGTATCGTTGTGGGGAATGTTTTCTAGGCACGCCTTGGTATCATTCATTGCTTGAATGCCACAGCCTATTTGAGTATTGTTGCTGGCCATGTGCATCCCTTCATGACCACGATCTACCCATCCTCTAATGGCTACTTCCTACATAATAATGCACCACATCACAGAGCAAAAGTTGTCTTAAACTGGCTTCATGAACATGACAAGTTTATTGTTTCTCAGTGGCCTTCCCAGTCAATGGATCTGAATCCAGTAGAGCACCTTTTTTGATTTGCAGCATGAAATGCACCTGAAAAATCTGCAATTGCATGATAGTCATGTCAGAATGAACCAGAATCTCAAAGGAATGTTTCCAATATTTTCTGAAATCCATCCCACAAAGAATTGAGGCTGTTTTAAGAGCAAGTTCCTAATAAAGTGCTCAGTGAGTGTATTTCTCCCCAGTTTTGTTGTATGCTCAAGATCCTCCAAGATCCTGTTCATGTCTAGTAAGAATGACTACAAGAAAAGCTGTTGACTGGGACTGGTGCTTAAAAGGTAGAAACACATCCTTGACATCATTTTAGAAATGGAGGTTGATACTGATAGCATATTATCTCTAAAACCACCACATTTGAAACATTTTAATTTTATTTTTGCATTTACATAATAATTTCAAAACATCCCATATTAACAGTATAAGGTAGATATGTACACAGCAGACAAATAACCTTAGTAAGGACTGTAATTCTGTTGGCAGAATTCACAAGAAGTAACATAAACACTAGATGCAATTAAAGTCTGGTCATTTGTAAATTGTTCCAAAATATACAATTTACAAATAAATCTTCAAATCTAGCTGCAGCTTTGGCAAAACTTGTTTACAAAGTGAGTTATAATCTGCTGTACAGCAGCTTAAGGGATATGAGCTGCATTCCTGTTTACAAAAGGGTCATTAGTTTAGTTACAGGAATCCACAGAGTATAACAGCACTGGGCCATTTTAATTACAAAAAAAGGGACAAAATCAAAAGAGAAATCAAACAAAGTATACAAAAGATGAAACCATAACAGCATATTAAAGTGATTTACAGTGCAGCCTATCTCTCTGTTTTTATTTCTGGCTCTTTCTGAGAACTTTCTCTGCAATAATCAAGGCCAAAAGTGGACAGGTAGTTTTCCTGTATATGAGCCTTATACTCTACATCACGTACCGCAATAGATTTACTGTTAAATGAAGAAACAATGTTGAAAATCAACATGAAGGCAGCTGTGGTGCAGCTTCAAAGCTGAGAATTGACTAAACTCAGCCAAACCCGATACCCTGTTTTCAGTGAATCAATCAAATGTTCATATGCTAATGATGTAGCCATATGTGAAATATGGATGTATGCCTGATTGGCCTGTTAAACTGTGCATGGTTTTAACCTAAAACATATTAATAGATGTTTTTTGCCTGTTGCTTTACTGAAAAGAACATCAGACAGAGGAAAGTGCAGGAGAGTTGAGTCTTCTTCCAGGATGGGACCGATCAGAGAGAAGGATGTAGCTGGTCAGTGCAGTTTTAGAGGTCAGTGGTGCTTAAACTGGGGTTAGCTATGGTGAGTCCTGTGGTCTGTGGACCTTTCTTCTTCCCTCTCTGCGCCAGCGCTGCTCCCAA